TTATTCATGAAACTCAATTGTTTTTTAATGAAAATCATAAAATCTATATTAAAATCTCACGGAGATAATTCGCTTTTCATGAACATTCGCCTTCCTCAACTAAGAACTAATCGGTCGCTTAAAAGAGTCGACTATTAGAGAAATATCTCTATATAGAGATATTCAACTAATCTCGATACGATAGTAATCTAGTTTCGATTAAATTCGATCGGACTGTAATCTGTAACAATTTTGTAATTTTGATTTAATTTTTTATATGATATAATATAATAGCTTAGATGCTGATAATATCATTAGTCTAATAAGAATATATATAACTCTAGAATTGAACAATACAAAAATATTTTACTGGAAAGGTTTTTAGAATATAGGTCTTTTTAGGTTTGAAATTTTTTGGAACTAAAAAAATACATCTTTATAAAGAGTTTATCCTCATAGAAGGCATTCTTATAGAGAGGTTTTACTATAGTAAGAAAGCCGAGATAATGACAAGGTGGTTGTAAGGTTGCGAACTCTTACCACTAGATACGTGTCAAAATCATTACAATACAATTCAGAGTCACAATGATTAGCACAAAAGAGAGGAAGCCCTCTGAGAGGCGGGTATTGCCCCTTGGGTATGTTCAATCAATCGATCTGACCCAAACACAATCGTGCCGTAAATTTTCCGATTAGTGCCACTTTTTGTTTGTCTGTGCTCAGTGACACAAGGGTTTCTTTTGTTTCATTTTTAACTTCTCTAGGTTCTACATTGAAAACTGGAGAACACCAGGCCTGTGTCACATAAATGTGAATTAATTCGGATGAATAACTCCGTAAATTATATTGCATATGTGCATAGAAAAGGAGTTGATATGATTAAAAATCATTCCGCGTTTACAAGTATCTTGTATACGTCACCCGAAACTTGTCGCCATTAACTCAAATTAGACTTCCGGGCGCAATTGTCCTCAAAGCTTAAAGTTTAGCCGAGGCTATCTTCCATTTTCAGCTTGATAGGCGCAATTAATAACACGATACGATGGATGTTCTTGTGAATATCATTGAAATTAGACTCTCATTTGACAGGTCGTCATCATGTATGTTTATCACCACTCGCGGATTTGAGTTCTCGACAGATCTTCGCACTCTTAGCCAGATCGAACTACGTATTATATTTTCTAGTTTCAGATTGTGCCGTATAGGATATTACTACCTGATCCTCTGTGATAATAAAATCCCTTCTTCACCTTTACAATCTTTCACAATTCTCTCCTAAACATTTTGCTGCATGGTCTACCTTTGAAATTTTGAGATCTTTGTATCATTTAACATCATCGACGACTGGCCTTCCCACAAAAACAGACGTCATGTCTAATTCTACATTGAGTCTCGGCTCCTTCGTTTGCTTGCTGAGCCTGGGGTCTATTGTTCTTTGGTACACTGTCAGTGCAGTCTTAGCTTGGTATCCTCTACGAAAGATACCAGCACCATCCTTCCTTGCCAAATTCTCGTATCTTTGGCTTGCAAAAACAACCTACAGCGGAAAACAATACTGGGTTCACCGCGACTTACACAAAAAATATGGCCCATTAGTACGAATTGGACCAAAAGACATCATTACTGATGATCCTGATATCATCAAAAAGATATCTTCAGCTCGCAGCTCCCACCGTCGAGGGGACTGGTATTTGACCGGTCGATTCAATCCATATTATGACAACATGTTCACGATACTGGAGCCAGGCCCTCACGCCAAGGCAAAAGCAAGAGCTGCGCCAGCATACACCGGACGCGATATGCCTGACTTGGAGGTCGGTGTTAATGCTCAGCTGCAAACTCTCATCGGTCTAATGCGCTCGAGATACGCATCGAATCCTGTCAAACCTCATCAGCCATTGCTTGATCTTGGCCCATTGTCGACCTTCTTTACCATGGATGTGATTACTCGGCTTGCCTTTGGTGAGGAATTCGGCTACCTCAAGGAAGAAACCGATCAATACAGCTTCCTCCGTGGGGTACGCGAACTCTGGCCACGGATGTCAACATCGGCGGATACTCCTTGGATTAGAAAGTTTCTCTTTTCTCCCCCCTTTCTCAAAGTTCTTGGCCCAAAGCCTACTGATAAAACTGGATTCGGTGCTTTAATGGCGTAAGTGGGAGCCCTCCATTCGACTCTGGCTATACTGACAACACATAGGATAGCAGAGCATCAAGTGGGTAAGAGGTTTGCACCAGATGCGAAGGAAAAGCAAGACATGCTTGTGAGTATCTAGACTACGTTGATTGATAAAAGTTAACCTAGTGCCAGGGTTCATTCATCAAGCATGGTTTTAATCAGCAAGAGTGCGAAGTCGAAGGCCTCTTCATGATCGTTGCTGGAGCAGAAAGCACTGCATCCGCTATTCGCTCTACATTGATACATATAATGACCTGTCCTCGTGTTTATCAGAAGCTTAAGGCTGAGATCAACCTCGCCGTCGCAGAGGGGAAAGTTTCAAGGCCTATCAAAATCGAAGAGGCAAAGTCGCTTTCATTTCTTCAGGTGTGTTAACATTTCCATCACAACTATGCAATGCCATTCTTCATTCCCTCCATGACAGATGCTTACTTAATGACAGGCTGTCATTTACGAAGGCATTCGTATGCGTCCTCCTCTTCTGGGACTCTTCCCCAAAATTGTCCCAGATGGTGGGGAAAAATTTCATGGAATGTTCATACCAGCGGGTACAGCAATCTGTATGAATACTTCTTCTCTGTTGAGATCCACTGCTCTTTTTGGAGATGATGCAGACGTCTATAGACCAGAACGTTACATGGAGCTCGAAAAGTCGAAGAGGGGCGAGATGGAGCGCAATGTGGAACTTGCCTTTGGTTATGGTCAATATATGTGTGTTGGAAAAACAGTCGCGTTCATGGAGCTAAATAAGTCCGTCTTTGAGGTTGGTAGCTGATCATAATTTTTCACAAATCTTGAGCTAATTTGAATGTTTTCCCAGATACTGCGAGCCTTTGACCTCCAGCTAACGAGCCCCGCCAAACCTTGCGATGTCCTCAGCTATGGAATCTTTCTCGAGTCAAACATGCTTGTTAAAGTTACTGAAAGTGAGGGTGCAGAATCAAAATAGCTCAATAGGAGATTCACTGAATATTCAATCTCAATCATATGTTCATAGCAGTATAGTTTAGCTATCTCATAGTTACATGAATTATGCAAGTACAATAGAACTGCTCTTCAGTAAATGTTTTGAATATCTCAATCCTCGTTCCAGCGGTAAATTTTCATGTTTGATAGAAGGTGCCACCTGTTGTGAAGTTTGACTACTACTTTGCTTTGGAGACTCGCTAATGAATTCCCTTCTAAGTCTAGGATTCAATCATTATGTTCAGATTGCATATATCTCTCCCCTGGTCCATTTTTCTAACTTCTTGTGTCGATTGGAGAATTCCAGCCTCACTTATTTGCTATCTGCTATTGTCTATTTGCTATGGGCACATATACATCGTAGCTAAGGTGCTATTGTTCCCCACATGTTTTTGCAGAGATTAGAACAGGCTGTCTAGCGATTTTGATCTCCAGAACTTGATATGAACATGAAAATTAAGAAGGAATAAGGGTTCACTCCGGAACTCGTTATCGCTTTCGCGCCCCTGCGCCCCCGCTCTCAGTCACATCGGGGTGGACAAGGCACAATCAAGTATCGAGAGACCAATCAGCTTCCTCTTAGAAAGGAACTTAGTAGATCTTTGAGATTTAGTTTCCCTGTAGCCAAAATAGCAGGGTTGTAACTTATACTTTCGAGAACTGGCATGCAAGAAAAAAGCTGAATCAGAACAACATGGGATCATAATTGTAAGTGATCAACGAGTGAGTTGTCAATGCATTATTGGTGTGCGCAATGTTACACTAACATAAAGTTCAAGTAGAGGCATATAGATAAGCAATTCATGAAAAATCATGTTCTGTCCCCTGAGCGAAGGTTATTTAGTGGAACAATTACCACGCGGTTACTAAGGGTTGTACGAGCGGTCATTAAGTGGATTTTCTTTCTTTAGCGAAGTAAGATCTGGATCGAAGGTTTTACCCCCACTATGGGTCTAACAACCCTAAAAACAATTTAATCCGTTCGGACTTTGCCGGGTTTCATTGCGGAGTGTCTCGTAGATAAGCGATATCCCCACTAGATGCGTGTCCCTGATATGTATACAACTTTCAAAATATTGATGTTATTCCAGCTTTGAATATCAATATTATATTTTAAGAAACCTATATAAAACTTATATTAAAGTATTCCAAAAGGGTTTGGATTCTTAAATAGATTTAATTGATACATATTCTCCTAGTAATATAGAAATAAAACCATTTTAAGAAAATAGTTCTTCTTTAATATAAAGTAATTACTTTTATTAATGAAAAAAAAATTAATTGGTCGAATTGATGGGCTAATTTGAAAGTTTATTCGTTTAAAAGATGATACAAAGAAAACCTCTCATAAAAAAGATTCGAAAAAAATAAACCAATTATTTTATATATAAAAAACGTAAAGCATTTTGTTACTTGTTTAAATAATATTATATCATATCGCTTATAAATTAATCACTAGCTACACATCTCATAAATCAAAATTCTTAATAATTTCTAAAGTATTCCAAAGTGAAAGAATGAGATTGTATACATAGCAGGGACATTCATATAGTAGGAGTGACGATCAATCTATGCTTACAAAATTAGAGGCGAAAACAACGTATATCGAAAATTGCCAAGCCCGCGAAATATTTCAAGATATGAAGAATTTCACGGATTTAAGTTTGCTTTCAAATCAATCGCGAGCCCCATCTCTGACGTTGAACTGAAGTTTAGAGTTTTCTGCAAGCATATACATTTGAAACTCCATCCTCCTCAATCCTGCAGTGCTTATACGTTTGTCTTTTTCCACAACTCTCGAAATACCAACACACTCTCCAGATAAATCACTACTCATAATCACTCTTATGAAATTTACTTGTCCCAAAAGAACATCATGCTGCTCAGCGTTAAAGACCTGTCTGAAAAATACATCATGCTGCTCGATGTGAAAGATCTGACGGCACTCAAAACAACTGTTGCAGTTTTAGTGAGTCCATTATTTATACCAGAGGGCGGTCAATTCTTTAACATTACCAGGTCACGATATTCCTTATTTCACAAGTCCTTTGGAAGATTTTCTTTCACCCGCTCAGTGCCTTCCCAGGGCCGTGGTTCAATAGGATATCTGAAATACCCGGCTCATGGGTTATTGCAACTGGGAAACAGCACTCATATTACCGACAGCTCCATGAAAAATATGGTGATTACCTAATCCTGCACCTTACTCCTTCTTTCGGGGAAATGAATTCCTACTAAAACAAATTCAGGTCCTGTTGTGAGAGTTGCCCCAAACGAGCTCAGCTTTATCGGCGATCGTGCGTGGGATGACATTTATGGAATTCAGGTGGGTGATTTTCAACCATGATTAAATGCATAGCGGTTAATACAAGGCAGAAAAATGGTCCCAATTTTGAAAAAAGTCCAATTTTTATAGGGGCGGTTTCTCCTCTTGACGGCCAGACAGGTATTAGCTTGGCACCAAATGAAGCTCATACTAGGCAGCGTAGAGCTTTGGCACATGTCTTCTCCAACACAGCATTATTGCAACAAGAAGAAATTATGCGAAGCCATGTCGATAAACTCGTGGGACAGCTGAAGAAAATTATTGCGGAGAATCGACCGATAAACTTTTCAAATTGGTGTAAGTGATACTTCGTTGGATCAAATGCCGATGGTTTCAACTGATAGATGAGGTGTATAGACACATACACAACTTTTGATATGATGGGTGATCTCTGCTTCGCAGAGCCATTTGGATGTCTAGATCAAGGAGGGGCCACAGAGTGGTCCACATCTGTTATCAACGTCTTTAAATCTGCCGCATGGGACCAATCCATACGTAGAGTAGCGGGTGTGAATACCTGGCTTCAGAAGTTGATGGTGAAACTTCTTATCCCATCCGAAGCTGCATCATGGCGAAAAGTACATTTCCAGAATTCTCGCGAGAAAACGCTCCGCCGCCTCGCAGATGGAGATCGTGACCATAAGGACTTCATTTACCACATTCTGAAGAACAAGGAGGCAAAAAACTCGTTGTCGCAAACAGAAATCATTCTTAACATGGTGCTGCTCATAAGTGCAGGGACAGAAACAACCGCGAGTCTACTCACTGGCTGGACCTATTTCATCTGTACTCACCCTGAAGTTTATAAACGTCTTATAGACGAAATTAGGGGAAGGTTCACCTCCGAGCAGGATATAACTTGGGAAACGGTCAAAGATTTGCCCTACCTTCACGCAACACTTAGTGAGGCACTTCGTTTGTATTCGCCAGCGCCTGCAAATCAGCAGCGAATCGTTCCTAAGGGTGGCTCTGTCATTGATGGACACTTTGTTCCTGGTAAAACCACCGTCGCTGTAGCACCTTGGGCTGCCATAAACTCATCGTTGAACTTCAAGTACCCTCAAAAATTTATTCCGGAACGTTGGCTCGGTGATGAGAGGTTTGTGAACGACAAATTAAATGCTTCTCAGCCATTCAGTCTTGGACCTAGAGGATGCATAGGGAAGAATTTGTCCTTTTTCGAAATGAGGCTTATCACTTCCCGTTTACTATGGAACTTTGACATGTCACTGGTGACAACGGGAGAACTTGGGGCAACCAATAAACTCTGGGATATGGATGGTGCGGGTAAGTACATGAAAGTTTATCAAACGTGGAATAAGCCCGATTTGTGGGTCTTGTTAAAAGAGGTTCCTAGATAGAATTGTTTGGTGAATCCGGTATTCAAGCAGGAATTCAGGCTTTCCGTTGTTTTTCCTTTTTCCCATTTGGTTTGAGCTGCTTTGATAGTTTGATATTTTGATATTTTGATATTTTGATAGTCCAATTGGTTTAACTCTTCTATACGTGGTAATGCCTTTACTTGTCTTTCTGCATTTTCAATGCTTCGAGAACGCCGATACCCAAGATTAGCCAGACTGATAAGCTCTTCATCAATATAACCCTTTTGCTATCAAAATAAATAGTGAAAGTGTTTAAATTCTATTGGAAGTTGAGGGTCCTACGGAGGACCAGATACTACCCTGCTGGACCGATTGATTGATTGATTGATTTCATTTACGTCCATCTTCAGTCTAAGACTATATAGGACGGCTAGGCCTCTAGAGGCTCTAGCGAATAACTTTTTATTTTACAAAAATGGATATATACGATTTAGGGAAGTAAAAACAAATGCTGGGGAATAATGCCCACTTATTATATACATTGTATATAATAAGAAAATTGTGAAAATTAAAAAATTATAAGGAAATCAAAGCCCTCTCTTATTTCTCTAATTATTTCTTCTTCATTCTCTTCTCCTCTCTCCTCTTCTACTACTATTCCTTCCTCTATCTCATCTTATATAAGAGCCCTAGCCAGATGCCATACTCTTATAGCGATTTTGGTGATATTGATGAATTTAATAACTAATTCAATACCTACTTTTATATAAAGTAGAAATTGTATAGTAATCTTAGATAGTGGTATATTCTTGAATATTTCTTTTCTCTCTGCTTTGTATATGGAATAACTAATAAGGAGGTGTTGTAGAGCCTCAATATTACCACATATACATTTGTTATCAGAGAGTTTGAATCGATGTAAATAAGATTTGATATATCCATAATCTAATTTGAGTTGAAAATATGTGCTAACAGTGTTTCGCTTGGTTTCACTTGGTAGCTTGATTTTCGATTCTATCTTCCATAAAAATAGCTTTGAATAGATCAAAAGGGATTGATTTGATTTGAATTTGTATTAATTGAGAATAGAAAGCTATTGATCTGAATCGTATTCTTTGATTATTATATTTAAAAATCCAAAATTTGTTTCATTTGAGATAGAATATATTGTAATTGCTTTCTTTACTAGTTTATCTATTAGTTCATTTTCTTTTATTAAAGTATGTCCTGGAATTCAATTTAAAGATACTTTAGCTCCTTTTACTTTAATAATTTCCACTGCTTTGATTGCTCGAATCTGATAAGCCTGTTTAAAATAGTCTAATAGTGTTTTTAAGCGATATAGATTAATTTGATTATTCGAATATATCTTGAATTTGTTGTTAATACAGACAATTGTGCTAGTATATTCAATAGCTTTAGTAACCCCGTAAAGCTCTTCATTATACACTAATTGATTACTATCAATATTCAATTATTATTAATATGAAATTCGATTGTTTGATTGTATTGCGATTATACCTATACTTATATCTATTCCTTTTTCAATAGAAGAGGCATCAGTATAAATATAGATAGTATCCTTATCTCTATGATTGAAAACGATATTATGAAGAATAGCAATATCTTCTTTTGATGAATTGCTAATATTAACTCTGAAGGGAATTTCCTTTTTCCATAAAGGGAAGTTGAAGTGAATAATCTTTTCAAGTGAAATAGGATTGAGATTCTGATTTATTGATTCTCTAATTCTATCAAGTTGGATTGATTTATATTGTTTTCTTTGAGGAGTAGGGATTACTTCCAAATCGGTTTGATATTGAGCTGATATTTCTTTTTTGATATTGATTGAATAATTTGGCGAGAGTTTAGCTAAACGAAATGCATATTGTCTAACATTTGAATCTAATCGAATTTTTGGGGACTTTAGGCTTGTTTCTATTTTTATTGGAAGGATTGGGGCTGTTTTGAAGACTCCTAATATCTTTCGAAAAGCTAGGTTTTGAAGCGATTATATTATATTCTTGAAATGAGTTTAATCTTTTCATCAAATTATTGATCCGTAATCAGCTATACTAGTTACACATGCTATATATAATTATCTAAGGGCTTTAGGATTAAAGCCCTTTTCGATATTAGCTAATCGAGCTATTTGATGGAAGGCATTTTTCGTTTATATGATTCGAATATTAATATATTAATCAAATTTGAGATTCGGGTCAAACCATATTCCTAGTTATCTAATGAGAGATTGGGGTACAATTATTTCCGAATTGGGTAGTGTAATTGAATATTTTTTTGTCAATTTGAATAATGAAAAGTACATTAGCTTTGTTTTTGTTAAATCAAATTGGATTGTATTTCTAAAACTGAGTTCATAGATTTGTTTTGTAACTCTTTTTAGGGTTTTGATATTCTTTTTCCATATAGATGAATGTGTGATTAAAGCAATATTATTTATATAGGAAAGAAACTTGATCGAATTAAATAAAAAGAGCTCCCTGATATATATAAGGAAGAGAATTGGAGAAATCGGGCTGCCTTGTGGTATTTTGGTTGAAATTGACTTGAAAAATTCGATTTGATTATTAAAAAATAGTTTCAATTATCTTTATTAAAGAAATGAAACTATCCAGGCTATTAGATTTATAAGCAGTTTTAGCTTCTTACAAATATCTAATAATCGATTTCTCGAAACGTAATTGAATGCTCCCTTTATATCTATAAATAATATTGAGGTCTTTTTATTGGCTTGCTTGTTTCTTTCAATTTCTGTAGTTAGTAAAAGTGCAGCATCGATTGCTGATTTCTTTTGGCGTTTTCCTATTTGACTCTTATGAAGGAAATAGATTGTTTCCATTAAATATTCTAATTGTTGAGTTAGAATCCTTTCGCTTATTTTATTTAGGCAATTTAAGAGTACAATTATTCTATATGCTTTTGGAAGGGAATAATCTGGTTTGGAAGCTTTCTTCAGAATAGTTCCTGTAGCTTATTTCCAATATTTCAAATAATATCCTAGATTAATAAGTTTACTAAAGAAAGTAAAAAGGTTTGTGGGATTGCTTTGTAAGCCTTTATAATGATCTTTTGAGTGATTCCATCTAGACCAAGGGTTTTTCCTTGGATTTTGACTGAACAGGCATTGCTTAATTCGATTTGAGTAAGATTAGGCCATTCCCATTGCTTGGATTATTTATATCCTTCCCATTATGGTTTTGGAGTAATAGAAGGGGATAGAAACAGAGTTGATCTGAAAGCAAAGCATTTTCCTTCGAAAAAGCTTTCTATTGCAATATCCAATATCCTTTGATCTTGAAAGTCTTTAGTATAGATTATTGCTTTGAAAATTGTCTTTGTATCCTCTTTTTCTAAAAACTTATTCCAATAATCCTTCTTTGCTATTTTAATAGTTTGAAAATACTTGTTTCTAGCGATTCGATATCCTTCCTTAGAGCTATAATTCTCCAGATCTGATTCAATTCTTTGTTTTACTTCTCTTAGCTCTTTTTGGAGATCTTTCAATTCAGGTGTTCATTATGGTTTGATTCTTTTGATTAAAACAATTTTAGATATACACCTTTCTATTGCTTTTTAAATAATTCTAGTAAGTTCGCTTACTACTTGATCTAGAGTTAGATAGTGATTATCTTTGTTTTTCAAAAGGTTTAAGAAATCCTCTTTGGTTGAAAGGATTAATTCTAAATTCAATAGAATAAAGGAATATAAGGATTTCGATTTGAGTATTGATTCGAACTTTTCCTAATTTACTAGTTTAGTATTATATCTAGTTATCAATCTAGTATTAGAAGTACTTAGATCTTCTTTTTCTTTTAATTCGAATAGTATTTCTGTATAATCAGATTCTATATCTGAAAGTGTTTGCCAATTATAAATTTGAGAAGAGATTCCCTTTGATATTAGCGTTAGATCAAAAACACTTGGATTAAGGAGATTAATTCGATAGAAAATACTGATTCCGGGCTTGTTTAAAAGAATAAGATTCTGATCTTCAAACCATTCAGCTAATTGATTAGTATTTCTGTTTTTCTTCGAAAAAGAATCCCATTATAGATAATAAGCATTGAAGTTGTCTAAAAGGATGGTTTTTTGTGTGATAGATATATTATACAAGCACCTTTCGATTATAAAACCTTTCTCTTTAGCTTGATCAGCTTTGTTATATATATTAATAATTTGAAAGGTTTTGTTTCCATTTTGATAATTGAAAATTTGTATATCAGAATCTATTGGAAAATCGAAAACTAGATTGATTGTAGCTTGAAGAGTTTTTGATATGTATAATAATATACATAGCCGGTAATTAGGATTAAGTCTTGATAATGTTTGTGTGAAATTGGAGTGTATAATAAATCTTGAATTTGAATAATCAATTCCATTTTTAATAATCCAAGGTTCTTAAATTATAATGAGGTTGATATTAAGTTCTATTGCAAGCTGTAAAACGTTCTCTATAGCTTGTGAATTCTGATTGAGATTTATTTGAAGGATTCGAATATTAGTGTGACTCATTAATGAGTAGTATTCGATTTTTGTTGAATAGCCTAATAGATTTCGTATGTTTTCGAATTTGCTGTATGATTCTTTTAGCAATTCGAGTATTTTACTTCTAAGTGTTGATAGAACTTTCTTTTGATATTATATACTATACACAAATGTATTGATGTAATGTGCTTATCTCTATATAATCCATAGGAAGGGTTTTTTCTATAATAGGTATCCTGATGCTCAAATCCTTGACATTTCTGACATTGTATAGTTGATTTTGATTTGTAGAATTGTTCTATTCTTATACTACTTCCAGTAATATATAATTGCTTTCGAATAGCTAATTCTGCTTCTGATTTTGTAGCAAAAGCAATAACAATAATATCCTCTCGTTGATAGGCTTTTCTGGAGGTGGGTATAAACTAAAAGAGGATTCCTATAGGCTTGAAGTCTGGATTAAAGGTTTTGATTTCGTTGAGTATAAGATCCATTCCTTTTGTGCCTGAGAATTCTTTAATTGGGATTTTGTG